CTATGCAGATGGTTAGAATTCTGTGGGACTTAATAGATTTATTTTATGCCTATGTGGCACAGCAGTATCGTACATTGTGGTTATTGTCCTGGTATTTTGTGCCTTCTAATTTTGTACAAGTGAACAAACTGTCCTCGGGGAAAAAAGAAAAAAATGCATCAAGAGTAATTTAATTTCAAATTCTGAAAAATGATGTGTTTATTAAGCTTGGCATAAGACTCACATAAGTAATAAATAGTTTGCTTCAGGTAACAGCTGCTTGTAAAGAGTCACCTTTGTGTTTGCTTGGCTAGGAGACAAATATAGCAATTCCTGATGTTAAAAAAAGACCTTTGTTCCAAGTGTACCTTCAGTATTTGGAGTACATATAGGTAATTGAATTTATTAGGGGCATACATTAATTTACAAGTTCCAGGCTTATACTACACTAGGATGTAGGCTGTGTTTTCAGACTAGTCCACAAAAAAATTTGATACATAAAAGTAGATTTTATATTGTACTTCTTTTTAGTAATTTGCAGAAAGCTTTCATTAATTATTGAAGGTGAACTCTGAAGCCAGCTGCCCATATTCAAATTCTAATTCTGCCATTTATAGACTATGTATGTATTGTTAGGGAAGTTCCTAAGCCTCTTGGCATCTGCTTCCTTACCTGTAAATGGGAGAGAATAACAGGACTTACTTCATCAGGTTGTCGTGAGGATTGAATGTTACTGTTTTAATTTGAGGTGTAATTCATATAACAAAATTAATCATTTTAACATGTGGTGTTCAAGACAGTCATTGTGACTCAATGCCTCCAATCCCAACACTTGGGAGGCTGAAGTAGGAAGACTGCCACAAGTTCAAGGCCAGCCTGGGCTACATAGTGAGTTCAAGGCTAGCCTCAACTATGTAGTAAGACCCTGTCTCAAAAAACCAAAAAGATAGGAAAGGAAAAGTACAGTTCAGTAGTATGTAGTATATTCACAGTGTTGTACAATCATCACCTCTATCCCATTCCAAAATATTTTCAATGGATGAACACGGTGTAGCATGTGCACACAACAGAATATTATACAGCCGTGAAAGAGGAGAATTGGTATATGCTGCAAGGTAGATGAATTTTGAAAATGTTATGATAAATGAAAAAAATAAGTTTTAAAATGTCGCCAGCTACATAGGTTTCTTTATAGGGGTCATCTAGAAAAGTTACAACCATATAGCTTATTCTTAGCTACCAGGGGATGAGTGAAAGGGAAAATGGGGAATGCCTGTTTAATGGGTAGGCGATTTGTGTTTTCTCGGGTGAAAAAAATATTATAGAACTTGAAAGGTTGTAGTTACACAACATTGCAAATGTACTAAATGTCACTGAGTGGTGTTTGAGTCAGGGCCTGAGTATTTAGTGCAGGCCGGTCTTGAACTCAGTCTGTAGCCCAAGCTGGCTCAAACTTGCAGCGATCCTCCTTGCCTTACCTTCCTGAGTGCTGGGATTGCAGGTGTGTGCCACCTGGATAAATGGTATGATTTTAAATGGCTGATTTTGAATTTGGTGAATTCCACTTCAGATAACAAAAAAGCCCCTTGATGACAGACTGGCAAAAAATGTGACACAGGCCTGTAATTCCAGCCCTAGGAAGACTAAGGTAGGAGGATCAAAAGTTTGAGGCCAGCCTGACTTTCGTAGAGACCCTGTTTCAAACACCCCCCCCTCCCCGTCCCCAATTCCTTGGTCACCCAAAGTAGACGAGCCTGCTTAACCTTATGGATTTTCACTCTTCTGTTGGCCCCCGTGGATTTCCCTTACTTTCTCATGAGTCTGCTTGGGCACTTTACAGGGTGTTTGCTATATTGTGTGAGTATTTCTAGATATTTTGCAGCACATTGCTTAAGGCCAACCATTACTGGAACTAGAAGCTCACATTTCAACCTTAAATTTTTAACCCTCACGTTATGCTTTGCTTTTATAACAAAGCTAGAGCTCATTTACGTATGTGTCCACTTCCTTTAATAAGGTGACACTGTAAGCTTTTAGTTTCTCCTCCTGCATATCCCTCCCTAACCTTTGCCTCTCTGCCTCTGCTGGCCCCCAGGGATCGCAGTAAGAAGATGGACAGAGCTGCTGGCTCAGTGTGACAGTGATGAGCTTTTGGGGGAGCCTTGTATACCAGCTGGGTGTTTGAGGTTGCTTTAGGTACTTTCCTCAGTATTCAGTGCTATTATCTGGGGCCCTTGCCTGGCTGCTCTTGTCACAGTACCCAGCCAGTTAACCTGAGAATCGTCCACAGGCTCCCTTCTGCATCCAGTGTTTGTCCCCACTGTTTGTAGTAATTCTGTTGTATTTTCTTTTGCTGCTATGACAAATGACCACCAGTCGGTGACTAAAAGCCACACAAATTATGATAGGTCTACAGATCAGACTGACGCAGGTCTCATGGAGCTAAAATGCTTGTTGTAAGAGTTGTGTTCCTTTTTGGAGGCTCAGAGTAAAATATATCTCCTTGCCTTTCCATTTTCCAGAAGCTGCCACTAGTGCCATCTTCAAAGCCAGTAATGATGGGTTCAGGCCTCACCTGCATCAGTCCTGACTACTCTTCTGTGTCTCTCTGGGATGTACAGGCTAATTACATGGGGTTCATTCAGATAATCCAAAGTAATCTCCCTGTTTTAAGATCAGCTGTTTAACAAACTGCAGGTTTCCAACTACCATGTGACATGCTGATACTGGAATTTAGGGTATCCACCAAAAACTTCCTTCCCTCCTTCCTCCCTCTCTTTTTCTCTTTTCTTTCATTCCTAATATTTTGAGGTAGAGCCTTCCTACATATTTCAGGCTGGCCTCAAACTAAGTCCTCCTGAATGCTGGGATTTTAGGTGGCACCACCACAACCAGCATCTGATTCAGTTTCTTTTTTTGGTACCTGAAACTTGAAGTCGTACATCATCTTGTGCTTGCCAGACAGGTCCTGTGCTGCTGAGCTATATCCCTGGCCCAATATTTGAATTTTTCTTTACCAATTCTTGAGATTAGTAGATCAATGAACTCTGAGTGACAGTTGTCTTTATCTTGGTGTTTCATTTTAAGATTTCGAGCTGCATAAGACAGGGCTGTTTAAAGCTGGCAGAGAAGAGGGGTGAAAGTGGCCCAGTTATTTGAAAAAGTAGCATCCAGGCTAGACTTTCTGTGTGGAGCTGCCCTGTGCAGCTGGTAGGTGTACTGCACATCCACACAGCACCATGCAGTGGAAAAGGCTCACTCAATGGAATAGACTTTACTCAAAGGAGTAGGCTTTCTCTAGCTTCCCAGCCCCATTTTCCTTAGAAACTGCCACAAAGTAAACAAGAAGACTGGAACTGGATTCAGTAGGACTTGTACACCTTTCGGGTTCAGCATTTGTGGGTCACTTTTGATAAGACATTGAATATCAATCATTACTAGAAAAAAACATTTATGTTGGACTCTTTGAAAAATACAAGTAAACATAAAATGCATAGAGTGAATTGTATATATATTTGAGGATCTGTAATGTGCAAAGATAAAAATTGATGTTCTCACAATATAGAAGAGTTAGGTTTCACTGTGCAATCAAGTACTGTAGAAATGAGTTCCATGGGTACCTAAGAGCTGAACATCTTATAACTTGGTGGAGAAGAGAGGGTAGCATTTAATCTTTGTATTGTTTGGTTTTTTTGTTTTTTTGTTTTTTGTTTTTTGAGATAGGCTATGTAGTCCAGGCTAGTCTTGAACTTACTTTGTAGCCCAGTCTGGCCTCAAACTTACAGTGATCCTCCTGCCTCAGCCTCCTGAGTGCTAAGATTATAGATATGCACCATCACCCCTGGCTTTAATCTGAGTTTTGAGGAATACTAGTGTTATAATGCAGAACTCACATGTCAAACAGGCTTATTTATGTAGATAATTCAGTATTGACCCAGCTTTTACCTCTGATTATATTGTAAGAGGTCAGTAGTCTGAAGCTTGATTTTTTTTTTTTTTTTTTTTTTTTATGCCTGAGACAATACACTGGGGGTGGTTGTATCTGGGTTGAAATCATAAACAGCTGGAAGTGTCATGTAGATAATTTCATCCGTAAATAAATGCTTCTGGTTTTTATTTGTTTTAATGTTTTAGGAATGAGAAGCCTTTTTTCCCCATTAATACTTTTTTCAGGTTTTTTTTCCCATTAATAATTTGTGTCATTGTGTTACCAGGGATGAGTGGGTTGTTTTTTTTTTTTTTTGTACCGGGGATTGAACTCACGACCTCATGCTTACCAGGCAAGTGCTTGAGCTCACTAAATCCCCAGCCCCCTGGGATGAATTTTTAACAAATAAAATATTGCTGGTGTCTTGAAAACACAAGCAAACAAAACTGTTTTGAGGAATGGTATGATTTTTTTCATTTGTTTCTGTCTTTTTAAGACAGGGTTTCACTATGCCATTTAGGCTGCTCTTGAACTCACTTTGTAGCCTATGCTGGCCTCAAACTTGTAGCAATCCTCCTACCTCAGCCTCTCAGGTGCTGGAATCACAGGCATAGCTACCATGCCCAGCCGGCTAAGAACAGGATGGTTCTTAGGTGCTCTTTCACTTTGTAGTGACCATATTAGCCACAGAAAATAGAAGTACAAATCTGTGTACTTAGTGAATGTTTTGGTTTGGGACTATCGGAATTCGCATGGTAGCAGCAACGACCTGTACAGTTAAACATCCATGTACCTGCTGTCTTTGTGTGCAGTGGTATGTGTCCTGGGCGGAAGAGCGCTAAGTTTGTCGTTTATGGGGAGTTACTACATTTGTTTTTCAGTATCAGTGAGAGAAGAACTTCTTCTGGAAAACTAAATTCTTCTGTTTAAGACTATAATAGAAGTATGAATGATAATAGTTCTGCTGGATTAAAATATATGTGTTTGTTCACTGAAAAGCTAATTTCACCCATTACAATAATGGACTTTTATTCATTTAAAAGTTGTGACTCATTTTGTTTGTGATGGCTAAAGTCTTTTTCAAACTTTTCAGGGAAGTGTGACCGCAATGACAGTGTTTTTTCCCTTGGATACAGCTAGACTTCGACTTCAGGGTGAGTATTAACCATATTCCTGTACCTATGATGTTGTGAAGTGAACATATTTTGTTGGTGAATTCTGTATTAAGCAGTCTGTTTCTTTAGATACCCAGGGTTGCCTATTACTAGTGGTCGTCATTGTTTCCTGATTAGCAGAGAGTCATCTAGGGGTGAGCCATAGCTTGAGTCATTTGCCAGTCTGAGACAACCTGGGTGGGCTTGAACGAGTAATTTTGAATCATTCTGACTTTTTCTAATAAGCCATGAGTTTTTCTTTCGTTCTTTCTTTCTTTTTTTTTTTTTTTCTTTTTTCAGTGTTGAAGATTGAACATAGGGCCTAAGTCTGAGTTTGACTTTCCCCTGTTATGGCTTCTTAAAGACACATAGTAGAGCATTTTGAAGGAAGTAGATTTGCTCAAAACAGGAGGGAAAACAGGAAAATAGTGGAGCCAATTCCCACTGCCATTGTGAGTCAAGGCTTGTTGTCCTGGTTAGCTCTGTAGACTCTGCAATTCACTTAATTCTTGCTTTTTTTTTTTTCTCAATTTTTTTCATCTTGAAATTATAAACCAGTGTTGAATTTGCATTAAAAAGATGCGTGAGATTATCTTTGCATACTAATTCTTTATGCCTACTGTTGGTGGTTGGAACTTTTGAATAGGTAATAATTTTATGGTTTAAAAAGCATAATATGTAAAAAGATATGCAGTGTAGGGAACATTAACTCTAGTCTGCCCTGCCCCTCTCATGCTGTTAATGTTCACTGTGTAGTATTCCTTGATACCATCAATGTAGAAAAGCTTTTTTATTTGAACATCTTCAGAATGGAAGCTGTAGTCCTGGAGTGGTACTGAGATAGCTCGGACCTTGGAATAAAATCCAAGGAAGCAAGAAATTAAGAAATTTGGAGCAAAGGCTTTATTCCAGGCCTGTCGCAGCCCTTTCAGGATCGACCCAGAGACTGTGCACCTAACAGACTAAGGGAGGGATATTTAAAGCTAAAAAACCCACAAAGCTGTAAAGCTGTTGACTTAGTTCTGATAAGATCTGGAGCTCTTGGTGCTACTCCCACCCTGCAGTTAAACATTATCTCGGAATAGTACACCTGCAATAACATGCAGAAAAGGGGTAGGGGAGTTAATTATCTCGGAACAGCTCACTAGCAATAGCGGAAGTGACAAGAAGCTGAAGCTTTTACAAGAATTAGAAACTTAACCCTATTGAGACGGAGCATACAGAACAAGATGGAGGCGCATTGGTTAGAGTAAGCCATAACAGTACCTCGTACCTGTAGGTGCAGCTAGTTGGGAGGCTGAGCAGGGAAAATTGGTTGAGCTCAAGGATTTAGGGCCAGCCTGAACAACATAGCAAGAGACACTCTGTCTCCCTTTCTTTATTTCCTACACAAGGTCTCTTGTCATAGCCCAGGCTGGCCTCGTGCCTCTGCTTCCCAAGTTCCCCATCTTTTTAAATTACAAAAAAAAAAAAGAGGGCCGAGGATGTTAGCTCAATGGTAGAGTAGTTGCATAGCATGCACGAAGCCTTGGGTTCAGTCCCCAGCATGAGTAGGAGAAGGGAGAAGAAGCGGGGAAAAGCAAAAAGAAGAAAAGAGAAGGGAGGGAAGAAGAGTGGAGGGAGCTGTACTTTTTGGAGTATGGGTGTGATCCTTGGAACTGAGTGATGATCAACCTTTCCTACTTCCCTGAGTAGCCTTGCAGACTTTCTTTATGAAGTACCAGAAAAAACATAAATTCTTAATTTTCTCCATTATTTAAACAAAAAAGCATGCTTTACACATTATTGGCACTTTGTATTTTAAGCTTTTTTTTTTTTTGGTACCAGGGATCGAACTCACGACCTTGCGCTTGCCAGGCAAGCACTTGTGCTGCTGGGCTAAATCCCTGGGCCCTGTAAAATAGCGTTTTTAGATGTCTTTCAAACAGCATATCTTGCCTTAGAGCTGTGGAGTGTTCCATGGTGTTGAACCTATGTCCCCTTCCCCTGCTGTGCATTCTTGGGTTGTTTTCACTGTTTTATTTTTAGAAATAGGATTTGTTTCTCTAAATTCTCTTGGAGAAATTACCAGACTGGGATTACTGTATCAAAAGGTAGATGTATTTGTAATTTTGCTAGTTATGCCAGATTGCCTTCCCTAGAGGTTTACGAATGTACCATTTCACAAGCCACACTGAGAATTAGGTAGCACCTAATTCTCAGAAAGTTGGTGAATTTTCATATTGTTTTCTAATTTTCAAATGTTGGTAGAAATTTTGAGGTTAATTGAGGTAGGTTTTGTTTTCAGTGAAAAGCGGAGTTTTTGTCCTTTTGTTAGTTCCCCCTCACTGTTTTAGGAATATAGAGTTCAGGCCAAACACTTGAAATTTAAGAATTTTTTTTGTTTCACTTTTTGTTTTGATGACACTGGGGATTGAACCCAGGTCCTTTACACTGAGCTATATTCCCAGCCCTTTTTTTCATTTTTTTAGTTTCAAGACAGAATCTCACTAAGCTATCCAGGCTATGCACAAACTTATGATCCTCTTGCCTCTACCTCCTAAAATGCTGGGATTACAGGTTGAAAATTGAGGAATTTTTTGTCTTGTTTTATATTTTTGGTACTGGGGATTGAATTCCCAACCTCACACTTTCCAGAAACTTGAGTTTTAATGCTGACTTTGCTTTTGTGTCTCTAGCCTCTTTTGTAAAAGAAAGATAGTGACTTATTTGCTCTGCTTTTTGGGTATTAGGATAAAACTATGAATACATATTACTTTAGAAAAACAAGAGATTTATAAAATATAAGAAATAAGTGCCAGATATTGTGTACACGACCCATAATTTCAGCACTCAGGATGCTGAGGCAGGAGAGTTACCACAAGTTTGAGTAGTGAACTCAAAGGCCCTGAACTACACAGTGAGACCCTGTCTCAATCAATCAATCAATCAATAAGAAGTGAGTTTAATTACAGTCTTTTATGAATAATAGGTAAAGTCCAAGGATCTATAGTTGGGAATTTAGACAGGAAAATCCGAGGCAATCTAGCTAGCTACAAGAATAGGGTAAGAGATGACACAGGTGAAGTAAATGATATTTCAGTGAAATTTGCTGATGCTGGAAACAATAATTCTCTTAAGTTGAAGCATGTTCTTTGGTCTAACAGTTGACGAAAAGAGGAAGTCCAAAACTACACACATGGTGCTGCTGGAGATCATTAAAGAAGAAGGCCTGTGAGTACTGCCTCACTGCACAGCTGTTAGACAAAGCAACTCGTTGGGAGATTCCTGAGCTCCAGTGCACCTGACTCTCTCTAGGCTATAGCTTTATAACGGTGTGAATTTGTAACTGCCTGGCACTAGGTACATAATTGTTTTCATTTCCTTAAAGTCTATGTCTTGGGCCAGGGATTTAGCTCAGCGGTGTTGTAAACACCTGCCTGGCAAGCATGAGGTTGTGAGTTTGATCCCCGGTCCAAAAAAAAAAACCCTACAGCTAGCCATTTGATTCTTTATCATAGAGTCTTCCAGAAAACCAGTGGTTTGTTTACTGTGCATTAAATGCAAGATAATAGTAGTTTAGTTCATTCCTGTCAGATGCATTCAGACAAATTGTGTCCTTATTTTTTTTTAATTTGGAAATAATTTCAGATTTACAAAAAGTTGCAAAACTGAAGTTGGTACAAAGAACAACAGTATATACTTTACCCAGATTTACCTGTCATCAACCTTGTTTCCCACTCTTGTACCATTTGTGTCCACGCTTTCCCTCCTTGCTATCTTATCATACACATATACCACACGCAGATATTTTCAGGACTTTTTTGACAGTAAGTTAGATGTATCAAATCCTTTAACCCCTGTGACATTGGCCTGCTTGATCACTTGCTCTCTCTTTTTTTTTCAGTTCCTGGAATTGGACTTACGACCTTGTGCTTGCCAAGCAGGCGCTGTGCAGTTCCCTGAGCTATATCCCTAGCTCTTCCTTTCTTCTCTCTTTTCTTTCCTTTTCCTTCCCCTTTTCCATTCATGTTCCTCTTCTCCTTCTCCTTTCTTTTTCTTTCTTTCTTTCTTTCTTTCTTTCTTTCTTTCTTTCTTTCTTTCCTTCCTTCCTTCCTTCCTTCCTTCCTTCCTTCCTTTCCTTCCTGTCTGTCTGTCTGTCTGTCTGTCTGTCTGTCTGTCTTTCTTTGATAGTTCTCACTATGTAGTCTAGGCTGGCCTCAAACTCTTGATCTCTTATCTCACAATCTCCAGTATTACGAAAAGAAAAGAGAAGGAAAAAAGAATATAAGGTGTGCATAGGACATAGAGTCTGTTATGGAACAGGGATGACTGTGTGAAGAACCGCCAGCGTTTCTCAGGACTTCTCTGGCAATTTCTAGCAGCTTTTGTCCATGACCTTCACTTTGTTTTTTGTGTTTCTTCCCCAGCCTGGCACCATATCGAGGGTGGTTTCCAGTTATTTCCAGTCTCTGTTGCTCCAATTTTGTCTATTTCTACACTTTTAATAGTCTCAAAGCAGTGTGGGTCAAAGGTCAACGTGCTACTACTGGAAAAGACCTGGTAATTGGATTTGTTGCAGGTAATAAAGTTTCCTAGACAAAAAATATTTTTATATTTTAATACTCTTTGGTTCATGTTATTCTATAAGAGATTATTTAGCACCATGCATGCTATGCTACAGAGTATAGTTTTGTAGTGCATTGTTTCATACATATCTATTTTAATTATTTTAAGCACAACACTGTTAAGTATATTTACATTGTTTTGAAGCAGATATCCAGCACTTTCATCTTGCAGACCTGATTCTATACTCCTTTAATAAACTCTCCTTTCTCCCTGGCCCAGGCCCTGGTAATCACTATTCTACTTTCTGTCTTTAAGAAAGTTACTTTAAAACAAAGGTTTTCTTATGATTGTTTCAATTCATTATTGCTGATCTCATAGTGTTTTAATGTATTTGTGCCTTCGATATGTATACATTTTTTAAAACCTAAAACTGGTACTGTTTATATTGATAAACATTTTCTTTCAGATTCAGACATCTATCTTTCTCTTGTGCTCCAAATACTTTTGATAGGAGGTTCATGCTAAGCAAATATAAGGTTACCAGTCAATAATATTTTTAACAAAAACTTATATGATGTGTATGCTATGTATGTGCCACTATACTTAGAGATGCCTAGATATTAGCAGTCCAAACAACATCACAAATTTTCATTGACATTCCACTAAAGATAAACCTGTTAGATAAAAGCTTCTTATACACTAGATAGAGATATTGACTAAAAAGGCTATTTTATGCCAAAAAAGAAATTTAAGTGTGTTACAGAAAGTCATCATGCTTGTCATGTTACAGTATTATGTATGGCTTTTGATTTTGAATTTTCTTTATAAAACTATATAACTATCAAAAAAGAATTTTACTTTAGATACCTCATATAAATGGAATCATACAGTACAGTACAGTACAATCATATAGTACATTTTTTTGTGACTGGATTATTTCACTTAGTATGATACTCAAAGTTCATCCATGTTGTAGTGTGTGACGTACTTCCTTTTCAAAAAATATATACAAGGCATGGTGGCACATGAGTAATCCCAGCCCTAGGGAGGCTGAGGCAGAAAGATTGCCCAAGTTTGAGGCTAACCTGGGCTATGTCGTGAGTGCAAAGCCAGCCTGAACTACATAGTGAGACCTATGAAAAACATTTCTTTTATGGCTAGATAATAATCTTTAGTATGCATATATCTCATTGTATTTATTCATTCATCTGAATACTTTGGTGGATTCCACCTGTTGGCATTTATAAATAGTGCTAATGTGAACATGGGTGTACAGATATCTCTTTGCCTGCTTTGAATTCTTTTGCTAATACACCAGAAATGGGATTGCTGGGTGATGTGAACTTCTATGTTTAGCTTTTGGGAGGCCCTTCATACTTGTTCCATAGCAATAATACCATTGTAATATCAGCAGTAATAAAGAAGCTCCAGTTTCACCAACACTTGTTACTTTCTATTCTATGATAGTAGCTGTTGTGGCTTGGCATAACTGAAGCCATCTTGAGTCTTACATTTAACTAGTGCTCTGTATTTGACTCAGAAAAATAGGAAATTACTCAGGGTACAAGTCCCATGAGAAAAGCAGAATGAGCTGTATCTGCAGGAGAAAACTTAACATGCTCAACCAAGAAGCAGGATACAGGTGTCAACTAAAAATTAATGAAAGATTAGAGCTAAGTTGTTTCCAATAAGATGTCTTTTGTGACTCTCTTTTAAAAATCTGTAACTTTCCAGTTTGGGACCACTTGTTTGGACGCTGAACCAGGGGGGTCTGTATATAAGTGGTCCTGGGCTCAGTTAATTGAATTCCAAATTTATCAGTTTGGCTGCTTGGATTCCTGTATTGTTGTTCACAAACCCATCTCAGTAGCCATCTGAGTGGGTATGAGGCAATGCATCACTCTGGTTTGGATTTGCATTTTTCTAGTGTTAAACATCTTTTAATGTGTTAAACATCTAGTGTTAAACATCTTTTAAACATCTCTGCAGATCTGGCTCTTCAAATGTTTTGCCCAATTTCTAATCAGTTGATTTTTTTGTGTGTCCTGGAGCTATAAAAGTCCTCCATCCATATATATTGTATATATTTTGTCCTTGTTATCAGCATAGTTCCTCAGACCTTTGGAATTTGACCATACCTTGGGTGTATGCTAATTGGGTGCTGACAGCCAGACCAACCAGTCATGTGACTACAGGGGAGGGCAGAGGAGCAGGTTGGGTTCTGTCACCAATAGGCTACAGGCAGCTGGTATGCCCTGCTCTTCTGCTTCTGTCCAGTGGGCTCCATGCTTGCCAAGAGTGACTTTTGTCTGAGTTCGATCCCTGGTACCGATAAAAACGAAAAAGACAAAAAAAAAAAAAAAAAAAAAAAAGGCAAAGAGTGACTTTTGTCTTTTCTGAAACGTGCTTCTGCCAACTATTTCTTACTATAGACAAAGAGTTATGGTCTGGTATCCTCCCATGCCAAGCTGTGGTTCTGTTACAGCACCAAGCCCTTTAGTAGTAATCCCATTCCTCTACAGTGACTCTGTTCTGCTTAATAATAGCATGGGTGCTTATCTCACCTTAGTCTCACTGTTTAGTCTAAGTATGCTCCTTAAATCAGGGGTTGCCTTTTTTGTTATCTCTGTCTCCCCAGAGTCTTGGTACAATGCCTGGCATGGCAAAGGTGCTAATTCAAAATAAAAGACTGCTCTTCTTGTAGTCTTCCCATTTTAGTAAATAGCAACAATAGTCTTCTAGTTGCCCTACTGAAAATCCTGAATTTATCCTGGCTGTCTGATCCCACCTCTGATCCCTGACCAACTCCTGTTACCTTTTCCTTTATATGGCATCCAGAGTCCACTACAGTATCTCTTCTCATCCATGGGGCATGTATTCCAAGGTCCCTGGTGGGTGCCTGAAATTGCTACTAGTAATAAACTGTATATGGTATGTTTTTCCTGTACTTACATGGGTAAGGGTTAATTTATAGATTAGGTACAGTAAGAGATTAGCAATAATAAAATAGAACAATTATCAGTTATAACAATATACTATAATAAAAGTTATTTCAAACATGAGTTGCTCATGTAAGACATTTTCTATTTAATATCTTTTGGCCACTTTTGACCTCAGATAGTGGAAACTACACAACACAAAAATTTTTTTAAAATTTTATTTAAGGAGAAAAAGAAAAAAAGCAGAGAAAGGGTACAAGTGATACAGATTTACAGAAAAAAATAAACAGTAGGAAATCACTAGTTAATGGATTACATATTGTCATCTTAGAAATAATTGTTCAAGTTACAAAATTAAAGCTTATAAAGTGGACGTTCCAACAGTGAGACTGCAAACAGTTCTGTTCAGTGATCCAACAAAACTCAGTAATATCATTATCTATCTTATACACTTAAATATTCATGCAGTTATATCGTTTAGAGCACTTTCTTTTCCTCTCTTTTGTACAATGACAATTACACATTTTGGGTTTTGTTGCTCCCACAGTTCTTATTACTTTTTTGGAAGAGAATAGAACCAAATGTGACATAACAGAACAGAGTCAGTCAAATCAAAAGGGTGGACATAATAGATAATGTAAAAGCATAATACAAGGTGATCAACACTGGTTACCATAATGCCTCCCGCTATCTCTAATAGAATTGCCTATATCATCAGTTATAATAAATTGAACAAAACAGTAAAGAACAAAACCAATAAAACCAAAACATTGGAGACATTATAGGTCTTCAAAAGTAGATAATAGTCAACCAGAATGGGCGTCATAATGAATCCCACTATCTTTACAGCTGTTGCCTAAACTTTCGAACCTGGTACTATCAAGAAAACAGAATAGAGGAACATCAGTCAAAACAAGATGGTAAGAGCAATACAGGGCTTTAAATCAAGATAATGGAAAGCCAAAGTGAGTTACTATAATATATCCTGCTTTTTAAAATTTATTTTTCCCTTAATTAAAAGGATAAAAATAAAAAAGTAAATAATGGAGTGGAGATTGAGATAAAAGAGGGCATAACAGCAAAACAGCACAGACAAAACATAACCATTTAAGCAAAATAGTCTTTCACCACAAGATAATCCTGACATAAAAGTAGTTACCATATTGTCTCTTTCTTTGCAATCTTTGAGTATAACTTCATATACTGTAGCATCAAATATATCAAAACAATGTAAAACCATTTAAGAGAATGACAATATTACAGGGTATTTAGAATCAACTAACAGAAAATGAACAATGGTTTCTGTATAATCTCTTTGTCTATAAAAGTTTTTGCTTATACTATCATATATAATAAAATCCAATAAGATACCACCTGTTTAGACCAATGGAGACAGAAGAACAAAAGCTTGATGAGACTTCAAAACAAGATGATACTAAATCAGTATTACCTATTAAGACGTCATTTTCTCCAAAATAGCTGTTCCTATCATCCAATCTTCTCTGCCTCATTTCTGTTGAGCTCTTTTTCTGTCATTAGTTGTCAGTTTGTCTTCTTCATTTTGTTTTCTGCTCCATTCATTGTGGCCTCTCTGCCACTATTTCTGGATTCTTCATATTTTTCTTTTTTAGAATATCCTGCAGTATTCTCTGTAGAGTTGAATTGGTGGTTGCATATTCCCCTAGTTCCTCTTTATCCTGGAAGCACCTTGTTTTTCCATCAATTTCCAGGGATGGTTGTGCAGGATATATCAATCTTGGCTGCAGATTATTATCTTTCAAAGCTTAAATTATTTCCCCCACGCTCTTCATGATTTGATGGTTTGTGCCGAGAAGTCTGCTGTAATTCTGATGGGTGTTCCCTTGTAAGTGATCTGTTTCTTGTCTCTGACGGCTTTTAATATTCTGTTCTTGTATTGGATTTCTGGAATTTTAATTATTATATGCCTGGGTGTTGCTCTGTTTGGGTTGTAGGTGGCTGGGGTCCTGTATGCTTCATACAACTGAGTATCTTTTATCTTTTGCTAAATTAGGAAAATTCTCCTGGATTATTTCTGTGAGTAGCTTTTGTAGTT